AGGGGGAGGGGGGGAAACGAGGGGAATTAATTGGGCGCGGGCTGCCCAAAAATTTTGGGCGCCCGCACCCAAAAAATTTTGCCCGAATTAGTTTTTAGCGACGGAAAATCCGTCGCTAAAACCTCTTTAGCGACGGAAATTCCGTCGCTAAAAACTATTTAGCGATAGAAAATTTTTTCGTCATAAAATTATTTAGCGACGAAATAATTCCGTCGCTAAAACCCAAATTTGTCGCTATATCAATTTTAGCTACGGAAATTTGGCGACAGAATTTTCCGTCGCTATAAACTAACTTATAGCGACGGAAAATTCCGTCGCTATTATTCCGTAGCTAAAACCTCATTTTCCACTAGTGAAATATGAAATACCACAAGATATATAAGCTAGGATAAGCAATGCAATCAAAGAGATATATCCTATATGATGAATATATATATGCAAGGATATATAAACTATACAAGGATAAACAATCTAAATAAGATAGTGGATGATATAGATAATGAGCTAATGACAATGGCGATATAAGATATGAACATAAATATGAAAGAACGCCAAAACACACTCAAACAAGCAATATGATCACAATTCCGTCAACCTCCATTTGATATGATCGTTATGGCGCAATCCATCCATCCTCCAACAACGTTGTTTGTCTACAATAAATAAGAAAACATAAATACTAGACAAATAACATTAGAAGTAAATTGTTTGTTAAACATCATCAAAACAAGAAGGCCAACAAACCATACATACTCCTTTATACTTAAGAAAGGATCCAAGTTTTAATACATTTGATTTAGAAGTCATATCTATTCCTCTATACTTAAAAGAATGATCCAAGTTTTAATACATTTGATTTGCTTAATATTTATGATAAACCAAATACTGTAGTATGAATAGTAACTTCAAGTATGAAGAAGCAGAATTAATTACTTTTTGCTATAGTATATTACTGTAGCATAAACAACAACATCAGAGGACCAGATTTGATTTACTATTTATGCTATAATATTTACTTATAATATTTATTGCATTTTACACAGTAACTGGATTCTCTTTTTAAGTATAGAGGAGTGGATTGCCAAACACCCCCTTCAGCTACGGAGAGAGATCATAGAGGTGACCTCCGATTGGTTCTTGTGCCACCAGGCCTGGCTTATAGTATTGGGCTTTCTTGTGCAGGCCAATCCATAGTCAGCCCACAATTTTATAACCACGCTGAACGGGTCAGATTTCAACCATTTTGAGTTTTTAGTCAACACTAGTTTGACTGCTTACATAACACATATGCCAATAGCCCACCAACCAACATTAGTTCCACTGGACCGTCGTCTTCATTACCGCATGTCGCCCAGTGTCGACTGATGCCAGCTGCAGGCCACCATCGGACTCTGCCTCACTAGTCTATGGTTATCAAAAAGGGGAAAAGAAAAAGAAGGAAGAACGCTAATATGGCATGATCACCATGTAACAATGATGAACAATGATTCTACATAATTACAATAACATTAATAATATACATCCATTTCAAAATACATTCCAGTGATATTAACTATATGATTTACATCAATTTTAAAATACTACTACAATCAATGTTGTAAAAAGTGGCGAATAGCGGCGTTATAGCGCCACTATTCACGGAAGCGGTGGTGAACGCGCTCCGCGCTTACCATGCTTGCGGTTATCAAGGGGGGGGGGGACACCGATATTTCACTTCGCCAAGGCAACTGATACGTGCAAATACGTTATTAGCGCTTAAAAGCGCTTTTAACCGCTAAGTAGGCTATTGTATTTTTGTAAAGTTTTGCTACCCAGGAACCCGAAACCGACACCGAATGCATAATAAAAACTTTCTCCTCTCGCCTCTGGTATCCCGACCTGAAGCGCCTAGCACACTCTTCTTATATTTTCGCCCACGGGTCTGCCGCTCCGCCTTCAGTCTCTGAAGCGCTCCCGTATCTGCCCCCTAGTCTTCGACCTCCTCTCCTGCGGCTATCTCTCTTGGGCTTGGCCGTAACAGACGAAAGAAGTTAATTTACTAGTTTTTGTTACGCTGCCTGCTCCTCCCCTTACTATCTACACACACCTGGGATAGTATTTTTTTCTATCTAAAACAGTTGCAATAAATGACTGCATT